GGTGGTCGGGTGTAGACGGGGGAGGCAGCCCCTCATGTAACACAGCTAGAAGCTTATGTAGCACTTGAGTGGGAGGTGCCAGGGATGGAGGTAGTGCAGAGCACAAGACTCCCAACACCCTTCCCTGCCCCTACAGGTCCCAGAGCCACTGGGTGAGGACAAGAAGAAAGGCAAGCCAGAAAAACTGAAACGCTGCATTCGCACAGCAGCAGGGAGCAGCTGGGAGGACCCCAGCCTGCTGGAGTGGGATGCTGGTGAGTGGACCAAAGTGAGAGGTTGGGCATCACCCATCCAAGAACATTGTGTCCTGAGTTTTCAGGGCCACTGACAGGGAAGAGGGAAAAAGTGACTGCACAATGTATGGAGGGCATGGTGGGCAGAATTGTTCTCTAGGTCTTTGGTGTGGTTTTGCTGGAGACAGGCTGTCTCTGTGACCGAGGCTGGCCTAGACTTTCAATCCTTCTGGCTCAGTCTCCCGAGTGATAGAATTACAGGTGAGGGCCACCAGGCCGGTTGGTACCTAGGGCTTTCAGACTCTTTCTCATGGGGAACTTGGCCTGCTGAAAGTCAGAGGATTCTGTTTCAATCCTTTTGAGGCACACAGTGATAAGTGAATGGCCTACCTGCTGTCCAGATTCCACGTTAGCCTTCTGCTGTATTTGCTTTATCCCTGTGTGTTTGGGTGCATGTGCGCATGTGCGTGTGTACACACACACATATATGCAATGTTAGGGATGGATCCCAGGGCCGTGCACACGCTGGGCAGACATGCTACCTTAGAATCCTGCCTTCACAGGATTTCCTCATTCTTTATTGTTTGAAACAAGAAGTGAAATTATTACTTGGGTTGTTTTGTGAGGCAAAGCCTCATGTAGCCCAGATTGGTCTTCAATTCATTGTGTAGCCAAGTAGGACCTTGAAGTTCTGACTCTCCTGCCTCTCCATCTGAAGTGCTGGCATGTGCTACCACGCTTCAGTTTATGCAGTGTTGTGGGCTGAACCCATGCATGCAGTCAGCTCTACCAGCTGCTCAACATCCCTAGCCCATACCTAGTATTCACCCCAAGAAAGACTTTCTTTCTTTCATGTTATAATCCTATTCAAACAGCTAAGAAAATAACAGTAATTATTGATTTTGAGACCAGCTCTTTGATATAGCCAAGGCCAGTCTTGAACTCACCATCCTCTTACTCCAACCTCCCAAGTGCTAAAATTGTAAGTGTTTCACTATACCCAGCTTCTACTCTTTCTGCTTTATTAAACTGGCCTATGTAGCTCAGTGGTGGAGCACTTGCCTAGCATGTGTGAGCCCCTGAGTAGTCCATCTCCAGTACTGCAGAAAAAAATTTAGCTGACGCTAGAGAGATGCTTTAGTGGTTAGAACATAGACCACTTCTGCAGAGGATCTGAGGTCAGTTCCTTCCTGAAGTTCAGGTCCTTCACAACTGCTTGTCACTCCAACTCTAGGGGATCTGACACTTTCTTCTAGACTCAGAGACACCAGCCCTCACCTGTGCACCTACCCACACAGACACGTGCACATGTACTAAAAGAAAAATCTAGCCAGGCTTGGTGGCACATGCCCTTAATCTGAGCTCACTCGGGCAGAGGCAGGCAGATCTCTATGGGTTCAGGGACTCTCTGGTCTACAGAGTGAGTTCCAGGACAGCCAGAGCTACACGGAGAAACCCTGTCTCGAAACAACAAAAGAAAAGAAAAATCTTAAGCCAGGTATGGTGACACACTCCAGAGGCAGTCAGGTCTTGTGAGTTCGAGGCCAGCCTGGTTACATAGCAACTTCCAGGTCATTCATAGATACATAGTGATACCCTGTCTCCAAAAAAAAAAGTGTGTGATTTTTTTTTTTTAAGGCAAAAAAGAAAAAAGCTAGCTGCTAACTTAAGTCCTAAACCCAGAAGAAATGAGTAGTCGTTCATGCAGAACTGTGGGATAGAGGTTGTCTAGATTCTGGCCAGCATCCTTGTGTTGCCTCAGGAGAGGGTCTGGTGAGAACTCTGCTTGCTTGAACTCCTCTGCCCGACTACACCTGCAGACCTGACCCACACTGTCAACTTCAGTAGGAAGGGTGGTCCTTATAAGAAGTGAGAAGAGTGCCTGCCCTCAAAGATGCTTTGGCTGGCCTGACGTGGTGGCACCTGCTCTGATCCCAGTACTCTAGAGGAAGAGGCAGGCAGATCTCTGTGTGTTCAAGGCCAGCCAAGTACATAGTGAGACCCTTCCACTCTCCAAAACAAAGTTTTTTGTGGTTTTTTTTGTTTAGTTTTGGTTTTTCAAGAAAAGGTTTCTCAGTGTAGCCTGGACTGTCCTGGAACTTGCTGTGTAGACCAGACTGACCTCAAACTCACAGAGATCCACCTGCCTCTGCTTCCCGAGTGCTGGGGTTAAAGGCGTGAGCCACCACTGCCCTGCTCCAAAGGGAAGTTTTAGCTGAAAGGTCAGTTTTTAGGGTACCTGACTTCAGGTTACACCTCTGCAACCTTTTTTTTCCTTCCTTTTTCAAATGAAGGTGGTCTTGCCATCACATCTGACTTGTATATTATATGAGAATTTATTTTTTAAGTGTGTGGGTCAATGACCTTGCTAGAAAATCTCATTCTCTGGGTTGTTAGACTTTCCTTCTGGGGTAGCCTAACTCACTCAAATAGTGTCTTTAGTCACTATGGAAACCATGGGGCAGGCAGCTCCAGCCATAGCTGAGGGCAGAGCAAACTGCCCTTCACTCCAGCCCTCGACTGCTGCCTCCCTTCCCACAACAGTCTTGCTGTGGCCCTGGTGCAGCTGACTTTATCATGCCGGCCTCCCATCCCTGTTTCTAAGGAAGACAGTAATTTAAGAGCATGCCCAGTGAGACCGGTGGTAGAGGTCCCCTTGGAGAAGGGATAGGCAGTGTGTTCCCATGACAATGTGGAGTTGGAGCAGACTTGCAGAGATAACCCAGAGAGGAAGAGTGCAGTGTTGTGCCAAAGGCTGGTGAGTGGCAGGGCCACAAAGGACCAAGGACAGGCTAGAGCTGGGACAGAGTTAGGCTTCATTGCAGAAGTAAGAGACTACAGTAGGTGATGAAAGGCTATGCAGTTAGAGGTTAAGGTATAGACTCTGGCTGGGTCTGGTGTTTCACACCTGTATTTCCAGCGCTTAGGAGGCTAGTCTGGACTTCTGTTTGAAAAAATGGGGTGGTAGAGACCCTGGAGCCAGATACCCAAACTTGTCCCAGCTCTGCTTGATGTGTGAGTTCAGGCAGCTGCTTGGTTCCTCTGTCTCAGTGGGAAAGGCCCTGGGGAGTCTCAGGTGCTTATGTAACAGGCTGCCTGTCACAAAGTGGTCACTACCACGTGGATATTGGCAGTTATTACTGAGGATCCCAGGGCAGAGACTGAGGATAGAAGGATGGACACTCCGGGATGCTCTGACCTCGTCGTCTCTCTCCTAATTCCAGATGACTTCAGGATCTTCTGCGGGGACCTGGGCAATGAGGTGAATGATGACATATTGGCACGTGCCTTCAGCCGTTTCCCATCCTTCCTTAAGGCTAAGGTGATCCGTGACAAGCGCACAGGCAAAACGAAGGGCTACGGCTTTGTCAGCTTCAAGGACCCCAGTGACTATGTGCGAGCCATGCGTGAGATGAACGGTGGGTAAGGCCTGTCCTGGGGATAGTGAGTGTGGTAGACCCCCGACATAAGCCTGACCTCCCAAGTTTGACCTGGAATCCTCCATTCCCACAGGGAAGTACGTGGGCTCACGCCCCATCAAGCTTCGCAAAAGCATGTGGAAGGACCGGAACCTGGATGTGGTGCGCAAGAAGCAGAAGGAAAAGAAAAAGCTGGGCCTCAGATAGGGTCTGTGGCTTGGCACCCGTTCCCACCCAGCCGGGCGCTAGCTCCTTCCCACAGATGTTTGTGGGAAACCCCAGTTGTCCACTCCCTGTCCCAAACCAGTTTCAATAAATTTACCTTCATTTCCATCCCTGACTGGGCTTAGAAACTGTCAGCTGACAGGGCCTGGCTCACTGAGAAGTGGGAACTTGGAAAGTTTACCCACAGACATTTAGGAGCACAATGTCAAGCCTCTAGTGTGCCCATTGCTTCTTTCGGTTTTGGTTTCTTAAGCATTCCTTTTGTGTATGTGGTGTGTGTGGTGTGGATGTAGTAAGTCAGAAGATTTCTAGTTCTGTTCTCTCCTTCTACCACGTGGGTTCCAGGGATCAAACTGGTCCTCAAACTTGGTGGTAAACATCTTTCTTTACCCACTGAGTCATCTCACCAACTCCCTCTCTTGGTTTCTCAGATTGAATCTCGTATGTTCCTCAAACCTGGATGTGGTTCATAACTATACCCCAAGCACTTGGAAGGCTGAGGCAGGAGGAACAAGCATTTGAGGCCTGTGCTACATAGCAAGAACTTGTTTTTAAAAGGGAGACCCAGGGGCTGGAGAGATGGCTCAGTAGTTAAGAGCATTGCCTGCTCTTCCAAAGGTCCTGAGTTCAATTCCCGGCAACCACATGGTGGCTCACAACCATCTGTAAAGAGGTCTGGTGCCCTCTTCCGGCCTGCAGGCATACACACAGACAGAATATTGTATACATAATAAATAAATAAAATAAATATTTAAAAAAAATGGAGACCCATATCTCAAAGGCTACATACATGCACTACCACACCAAGTGTATGGGGGTGCTAGGGATTGAATTGAGGGTTGTTTGTTGTTGTTAAATGTATTTATTTATCATGTATACATTTTTTGTTGTTGTTGTTTTTCGAGACAGGGTTTCTCTGGTTTTTTGGAGCCTGTCCTGTAACTAGCTCTTGTAGACCAGGCTGGTCTCAAACTCACAGAGATCTGCCTGCCTCTGCCTCCCAAGTGCTGGGATTAAAGGCGTGCGCCACCAACACCCAGCATATGTATACAGTTTTTATCTGCTTGTATGCCTGCATGACAGAAGAGGGCACCAGATCACATTTTAGATGGTTGTGAGCCATCATGTGTTTGCTGGGAATTGAACTCAGGTCCGCTGGAAGAGCAACCAGTGCTCTTAACCTCTGAGCCATCTCTCCAGCCTGAATTGAGGGTTTTGTGTGTACTAGGTAGGGCCAATCATCAGAGCCTTACTTACCTCTACCCTCTGACCTCTTAAAGTTTTAAGTGTATGGTCAGCATGGCCTATTCTGTAAGGAATAGGGGCTGTGGCAAGGTCAAAGCCAAGCCTGGCTTGGGTCCATGTTTCTGACTCCAGCCTGTGCTCTTGGCACTGAAGCAAGGTGCCCTTCTAGAGTGGACATCATGACAGCCTCCCATCTACCCCAAGGTCTAGGCAATGCTGGGGCTTCTGTGGGTTCTCTGAAGCTCTTAGAGTTCATGATGCACTGTCTCCATGGCCCCCCAGACAGACAGGCCTGGACGCGATCAGGACTTGGATTGAGAAGTCCAGGAACTAACCTGAGGATAGAGACATTCTGAAGGAGGAATTCTCTGTAGCCCAGGCTGGCCTCCAGCTTGGCATTCCTACCTCAGCCTTCCAGTGTGCAGCACCATCTCTAGCTGAGACTTCATGCTCTCTTCCTCACCTTGTAGGCTTCAGATGTGTGCATTACTTACTTTGCTGCGTCCTATTCAGCATCTCTTGTAGGCTTCTGGGTTCCCACTTCACTTTTCTTCTCCAAACCTATTAGCTGTCTGCATCTCGGGTCTATCCCTAGCTTCAAGCTTGAGGACTGTCCTCTAGACTGTGGACACCAGGCCTAAGCTCAGATGTCCCTCTGAAGACAGCACTGAGCCCAGGAAGCTGAGACAACGTTTAGACAGCAAACCAGGCCTGGCTCAAAGGTTGACACTGGAACCCTGAGGCCTGAGTTGGTGATGCATGAAGAGAAGCCCAGAAATTGGGAAGCTGAGGCAGGAGTTCCAGGCCAGTCTGAATTGATAGCAAGACTCTTATCTCAAAAGCCTACAGAATGGAATTCCCAAGCTGGGGGTGATAGCATAATGCTTGTATGACTGGGGCAGGGGAACTGCCAAGAGTGAGACCCAGGCTCTAAATAAATAAATAAACTGGCTGCGTGTGGTGGCACACACCTTTAGCTTCAGCACTGGGAGGCAGAGGCAGAAAAATTCTATGAATTTGATGCCATCCTGATCTACATACTAAGTTCCAGGCTAGCCAGAGTTACACGAAGTGAGACTCTGTTTCAAAAAAGGAAGGAAGAAGAAGATCAGAAATGAAATGTCCTAGTCTTATCTATAGAAGGCAGAGGTGCTGGGCTGGAGTGTAGGAAGAAGGTGTGGAGGTTTCCTAGAGACACACCTATCAGAACCCTGGGTTGGGGAACAAATTAAGGGAGACAGGCACCAGGATGGAGAGGTAATTTCAAACCTCTCTGGAAGATCACTCTGGAGAGGTGTCAAATTTCTCCTGTTCCGTGTCCCCACACCCCTTACAACTCCCTCTCTGACGTCACATTTTCCAGTCTGGCCCCAGGAGTGGGGGCCTCCCTCCCTGGCAGGAAGTGCCCTTTAGCCCCCTGCCACCTGGAATGGAGCTCTAAGCCCCAGAACCCTAGACTCCCTTCTCCCAGTGTCCAGCCAGCCTTCCTGCCCTGAACCCCTTCTCCCTGCAGTTAAAGGAGTGAGTGAGGAGATGGAAATATGGCCCAAGAAAAGAGGATTGTCAAAGAGCACCAGACTGCAATTCTGAGCCACAACAGGTAGAGTAGAAACCATCACTAGCATGGTACAGAGAGATGGAGTGACAGGGACACGCAGGAGTAAGCAAGACACTTGTCAAGAGATAGGGTGGCAAGGCTTCACCTCAGACTAGTACAACAGGGATCTAGGACTGGAAACCAAAGTCATAGAAGAGGGAGACTGTTCTATTCTCCCTCCAGATTCAGGTAAAGGCCAGATTCAGGTAAAGGAAATCTGGGGTAAGGACACCAGGACCCTTTAGGCTCCTGGTGGGTGGTTGGATTGGGGGGTGGGTCTAGGGGATCTCCCCAGGGGCTCATGGCTCACTCAACACTGGATCCAGTCACAGCTCCCAAAAGACTGTTTTCTTGGGGTTCAGTTTTTCTGCAACATATAAGGCAGTGATGCCTCCCTCTCTCACACTCCACAGTACTGAAGAATGAAGGGACTGTGCCTGTTCTGGAGCCTGGACTAAAAAGACATGGACCAGGAGGCTGGAGAGATGGCTCCGTGGTTCAGAGCATGTGCTGCTCTTGCAGAGGTGCCCACATGGTAGCTCATAACCATCCATTACTCCATTTCTAGAGGATCCAATGCCACCTTCTGATTTCCATAGGCACCACATATGCACATGGTATACAGACAGACAAAACACTCACATAAAAATTTTTAAAAATTTTTCTAGGCATCGTACATGTTTGTAATCTCAGAACCCAGGAAGAAGAAGGAAGAAGATCAACAATTCTCTTTGAGGCCATCCTGGGTTACATAATCAAACCCTTGCTCTAAAAACCAAGGAGTTAGGTGAATAAGATGACTTAGTGGGGAGAGACACGACACATTGTGGCCACTTCTGATGACCTGAGTTTGATCCGCAGAATTCACATGGTGAGAGGAGAGCACTCACCCCACAAGGTGACCTTTGACTTCTGACAATGTATATACACACAGAGAGACATACACACACTAAAAATACAAACCTATAGTGCAGTGTTGGTACACACCTTTAGTCCCAGCTCTCAGAAGGCAGAGGCAGGTGGATCTCTGTAAATCTGAGGCCAGCCTGGTCTGCAGGACTAGTTCCAAGTCAGCCAAGTATACAAAGAGAAACTTTGTCTCAAAAAAGCCAAGAAGGAAAGGAGTAGAAACAAACAATGCCAGACGTGGTGGCACATGCCTTTAATCTCAACACTCAGGAGGCAGATTTAGATAGATGTCTGTGAGGCCAGCTGGGGCAATATAGTGAGATTCTGTTCTGGAAAAAAGAAGAAATAGAAATAATAAAATAGGCAGGGCCGTGGTGGCGCACGCCTTTAATCCCAGCACTTGTGAGGCAGAGGCAGGCGGATCTCTGTGAGTTCGAGGTCAGCTTGGTCTACATGAGTTAGTTCCAGGATAGGTTCCAAAGCTACAGAGAAACCCTGGCTCAAAATAAAATAAAATAAAAACAGAAAAAGAAAAAAGAAAAAGAAATAATAAAATAAAAACCAATGACTTGTTGGGAAGATGACTGTGACTCCCATGGGTAAATGTGCTTGCCACACAAGTCTGGACCTGAGTTCAATCCCAGAGCCCTGTAAAGCTGGGACAGAACTGATTCCACAAAGTTGTCTTCAGACTTCTACACACATGTCCTGGCACACATACACAACAATAAAGTTAAGGGTAAGGGGGTAGAGATACAGCTAAGTGGTAGATTACTTGCCAACAAGAATAAAGAAAAATGTGGTACTGGAGAGATGGTTTAGCATTAAGAACACTGGCTGTTCTTCCAGAGGATCCAGATTCAATTCCCAGCACCCACATGGCAGCTCACAACCGTCTGTAACTCCAGTTCTAGGGGATCTGGCACCCTCACACAGACACACATGTGGACAAAATACCACATGTAATATAAGTAAATTATAAAAGAAAAGAAAAACGTTATACTTATTTGTTTATTATTTCTCTATTTGAGTCTCACTTTGTAGCCCTGGCTAGCCCGGAACTCATTGTATGGACTAAGCTGGGATTGAAATCCAGACATCTGCCTGCCTCTACCTCCCTAGTGCTGGGGTGAAAGGCAAGTGCTACCATGTCTGGCAATGAAAATGTTTTTAATATTAAATATTTACTTACAAGTATGTAAATGTTTAATATTAAAATATTAAGGTGGCAAATATTTTAATACTAAATATTTACCTATTCATATTTATTAAGAAAGTACTTAAAAATGGTCAGGTTATGGAATTTAAGGTTTGCCTGGCTTAGCAAATTAGAACAAAACAAACAAACAGAATACCTAGTTT